TAAAGGCCACATTATCTTAAAGGACCTTTTTCATAGTTAATATTGTATGTCTCAATAGCATTAATACTCCATGCTTTTCAACAGTAGCAAACATTTTATACTTCATGTTAAAGCTTTTGAAAAAAATGTCAAGCTCTTATAACATCAGAATCTTTTGTGATCATGCCCTTCCTGGATGACAGAGTGACTAGTCCGCTGGATTTGTTTTTGTAGTTGGTGTTGTCAGATAGGTATGGAAAAATGGTTTCTACTCTAAGAATCTGGGAATTTCTGGGAATCAGAAGAGAACTTAATACAATTTATGACACGCAACAGGGAATACTTAAATTAAGTCTTCTAGAGTGGCTTTTTTACAGGCATCGTCACCAGAACAACTACCAAACTGCTCTGCATGGTGGATTTCCTGCCCTTGACCCCATTCTTATATATCAGCAGAAAGGAGGTGACATCAGTCACAGTTGCTTTATGACACTACTGTAGACAAACTTCTGACAGGTCCTTCAGGTCACTTTCTTGACTCTAAATTTATTATATTCCTAATAAAACTATGGAAGTATGTAGGATAAAAAAGAAACTGCAACTAAAAGGATAGGCAGATATTACAAAAAAAGCCAATCACAACAAAATATTAACATCTTAACAGCTCTGAAGGAGATTAATAACCTTTACAAGTTCTAATGACATCATAATTGGGTGGAGTAATCTCATTTAGTCAGTAAAGGGCACCTGATTTGTATAACAACATGAAATAGCCCTCCTGTCCATTTCAAGAGTTGGCCTTCAAAGTACAATTAGTATGTCTCTCTGGTCTTTAAACTAAATTAGTAGCTGCTTTAAGAAGAATATGCCACCTAATTAAAAATTACAAAATAGATCAGACTTGTGGAAAAAAAAAGTCATCTCTATTTCATTCAAATCCTGTTAAATATTTTCTATACAATTTCACATAAAGTTATTTGTTTCACAAGACTTACTTCCTATTCTTCTTCAACTCAGTAAAGAGGTATGCACACTGGCAAAATCCTTATTTTTCTTTAGGAAAAATATATTACTTAAAACTCTGAATTTTAAAATTACACACTACAAAGCTAACAACAATAAAATGATCAACAACAATATTTGAATACCAATGAAAAAACAGCAATTTTTCAACTTTTCTATGTTTAATTGAATCAGCTATTTCTATGTATTATGGGAATACATTTATCAGAATCAGTAGAGACCAAATGTTAATTATGAAGACCAAGCACAAATGAATAATCTTACATATAGACCCTGACACATTAGAACTGCAAAGCACTCTGCAGATCTTATTTTATGAAAATGTACTAAGAGCGCAAATGTATAGGCCCTTAGGAAGCAATTATCCCTAAAAGATTTAGCTATAATTCAATGTGAAATATTATAAGAGATTTTTAAAAATGGTTTCACAAAGAAGAGGATTATTTTACTTTAACTATGGAAATAGGGGCCCGCATGCTTCTCTGAATGACCTCTGTGCAGTTGTGGGCATTGCCTGGAGGGAAGATTTGAAATTGGCCTTTTCAGTCAATTAATACAATCCCCTGTGACCAATAAGAATATTATAAAAATTAGGAGTGCCAGTTTGACATTGTGGGGCTGACTGGGCCACATCACTGTAAGGAATGTTCTATGCAATAAATATATTAAATATGGAAATTTTAAATCACATATTACTAATATGTATGCAGAGATTATTTATGAAGAGCTATCTTCAGCACACAAAGATGTGCAGATGTTATATGGCACAGAAAGATGAAATGGCACATTATAATGTGCACAGCATGCTTTATGTGTCATATGTTCTATTTGTCACATGATCCTCAGGTGCGACACGGGATTTAGGAGGGTAAAAACAAAAGTATGCAAAAGAGTGCTTACATCATCCTTGTTATTTCCAGATCCTGGATCTGGCCAGTTTACTGCCACTACACCTCTCTCACAGTCTCCCTGCTACTTTACCTCAGTCCTGACTATGGGCTGCTACTGCCTCAAAGAAGGGGACAGTAGCCCTGTGAGCTAATATATCTAAAAACAAATCTGAAAGCTTGCACCTTATCTTACCTATTAGACCCTACATCAGTGGGATGAAATAGGTTTCCTGTGGATTGGTCTTACACTGTTTTACTTCCAAGCAACTCAACATCATGAGAGAATGCAGAATCATAGAATATTCTGAGTTGGAAGGGACCCACAAGGATCACCGAGTCCAACTCTTAAGTGACAGGCCCATACAGGGGATTGAACTCATGACCTTGGCCTTACTAGCATCAAGTTTTAACCAACTGAGCTAATCTCAGAGTCTTTAGATGATTTTAAAAAGTAAAAAAGAAATAATAGCCATTGGGTTTGTTGTTAAGTGTACTTCAGAGTCCTACAGAGGTAATGATCTCATTTTTTATCACAAACTTATATGTCATCCTTAATCTAGCTGATCCTGATTACTATATTTTTATCCATTTAAGATTGCAAATATCCCTGCATCATATCTGATGTTTACACGTCTGTTACTCCCTGAAGAAAATCTAAAGCAGATCAAATTCCTCATCATTAGAATATGCCTTCTGCCAAACTGAATCAGACAATGTTAATTAAGTTCAAGATAATAGGGAAAATTAAAGATTTTTTTCTGAAAAAACTTTCTTGACAGAAGCTGTCCTGGACAGACTCAGAAGAAATACCTGGACTCCTTCTGCTGAACAGGTTAATAACACATAGCACAGTTCCCAGTTTGCCTGTAGAGGTGGTTAAAATAAATGTAGTTCCCTGTATCATGGAGAAAATAGTAGTTGTGTTGATATTTACCCTGCATCACAGAGACAAATGGCCTGTCCTATTTCTCTGAAAACCGTCAGATATCCAGAGGGTGTTCTGCGGTGGAGAGGGGACAGGATGGGATGCTTGGGTCTGTACATGTGCTCTGCATGTAGCACTTAAAATAGTCACTGAGTGCATACAAGAGGCAGGAGGTAACAGCTAAGAACAAGAGGGTTTCACAGGGGAGTTGTGTTCCAGGACCCTGCAGTGTGTGACCTGTCAGGGGGCTCTGGCTGGATATTTCTTCCTCTGGGAGCTGTGCTGCTGATGGCAGCCATCTGCAGCCAGGTCCAGAGCACTGACAAATGAATTCCTAAGGGAGTCACTGAAATGACTTTCATCCCTACCAGATAGTCTATTTCCCAGGCTGTACTAGACTAAAAATGGGTGATAAGTTTTTCATTTACATGACTGCTTAGGTTAGGATGAAGGCTTATATGCTGTATATCAATATTTCACTGGGGCATTTTAAAGTTTTCAAGGTCAAGAACACAACTTGACCCATCAGCCTTTTAAAAAATACTATAATGGACCTGTCCTCACAGTAGACAACAGTGAGATGAACTGAGATAAACTCTAAGGAGCTACAATATTAAAAAAGGTTTAACTTTACCAAAAATTGAAAAGCATTCCTTTTTTTATCTCCCCAGACTCTCATCCCTAAAAGACTATGACCAATTAACCTCTAACTTCGAAAAATAAAAAAATGCCTGTGACAGGCAGAAATGAAATTCTTTAAAGATTAGGTGCTAGAAGAGCAATATCGGGCTTAGAATGAAATCCTAGTAACACTCTGACCTATCAAGTCATTTCTTGCTCTGAAAATATAATTATTCTGTAAGCATTATGTCAGGCAATATTAAATGTAAAAAGTGTAGTTTAAATAAAACATTTTTTTTCTAACAGAAAGACTCTGTGTGTAATATTTTCAATGACACCCCAAAAAAACAAGTCAGCATGCAATTAATGAAAAACAATACTACATTTAATAAGTAGCATGCTTGGCAAGCTTTTTCAGTGATACCAGATTCAAAAAAATACTGTTATTGCAGTCAGAAGCAGCCTAAATGCTTATGACCTCTATTTTGAGTAATCTGCTTTCTGTATTGCACATTTTATAATATTCATCATAGATTCTGATAGCAATAATAAACCCATGGAATATACAGCATTTGCGTGGCACTCAACCTCTGTCCATTTATTCATTATACTTTTTTTTTTAACTGAGAAATGTCAAACTACACAAGAATTTACTTTTATTCCTATACTTTGCTTCAGTCAAATTGTTGTATGAATAACGATGTTTCCCAAATACAAAGAAAATAAGAAAAGGAGGCAGAGGAAAATCTGTCCATAAATGAGATATCCTTGGATCTTACTGTCTAAATCAAACAGTTCTAAAACGACAACACAGTATAAACAGAGTAACTTCAGTATTTATATTGTATCTCCACTACCCATAAAAGATTTTTAAGAATATAGGGGTTGAAGAGGTGTGCACAATGCTTGCATATCTTACCTGGCATAGTCTCTTACTCTGGCTAGCGGTGAGATTGCTGGGTATGTAGCTATCAATTCCACTGACATTACAATTTCCCTTTCTCAAAGCAGCAATAACCTGTCACTTTACACTGTCCTTTCTCTGACCCTCTCCCGCCTCTCTGCTCATTTTTATTCTTATTGACAAGACTTATTATTCCTCCTCCCAGTTCCAACTAGCTACCCTTTTGCAAATAGTAGTATCAACTATGTGGTCACTAGTAGTATCGGTCAACAATGTTATTAATATAGCACACACTGCCGGGAGCAGATCAAACAGCCATGCTTTAAAATATTAGTTTTGCAAAGGTACCATGAGGCAAACAGTTGCAGTTTCTTCACCTTATAAAATGCAATATTGCAAGGACAGATCTCAAGAATTTAGAGTTAATTACCAGCCTAATAATTTGGATGATATGTTATTTTTTTTCTTGTTGCATTCAGATGCAAAATAAAATAAAACCATAACAGAAGGGTGCTGTATCTGTGTTTAAAGAAGGGGTTGTTGGCAAACACCATAGCTCACTTCTGCCGAAATGTACACAACAGATATATGCAGCCCAGAAAGCTGGCACCAGGGGCTTACAACCTTAATTTGCCTGCAAGAAGAAATGGAGATTTACCTTCAGAGCACGTTCTTGATTGTTTTCAGCAGTCAGATGTCTCGTGTTGTTTGCTGAAGTCTGGTTCTGCTCTTTCAGATGATGAAGCTCCTGCTCCAGCCGTTTGCACTGCAACGAGGAAAGAATCCCATTAAGTAGAGGAGTGTGGGCATATTTTTTTCAACAAGCCAAAAGAATTAACGTAAATCACCCCATCATCATTTCTGCAGTAGTGAAAGCATCTGATAAAAGCAAGTTACAATCCCAGACAGTACTAGAGCTATGTTTTTTAAATGTGAATCATTATTCAGTTTCTTCCTGGTCCAACAGTATGCCAAAAAAGCCAAGTATCAGATAAAGACATTTTGCAGAATGTTGTAAAAAGTCTTAGAAATGTTGAGTTGAATTTCTGCTCTTAGTTATGCCAATATATGGCTAGATTTTGGCTTTTATGTATTAAGTGGATATAAAGGTAAGAATGCATGCTTTTAGCAAACAAAGCAAATGAAGACCCTCCTTCCAAATCCAGGATCCAGTCTTTTACTGGAATATATACATGTAACTTCTGTACTTGCATTTTTTACACTAAGGACTTACTCTAATTCTGCAACACATGCCACATACTGAAAGAAGTTTTAAGATAGTTTTCTTTAAATATTTAACTTAATTACAAAAAAAAAAAAATTAACACTTGCTACTGTATGCATATACATAACACTTGCTACTCTATGCACGTATATATATAATTACTGCTGTCTCCTGAGCATCTATTTTAAAGATCTGCAAGTTGTGAGCCAAATTATATTTCTGTTTCTTATGATAACCATAAAAGGTCTTGCCCACTTATCTTGGATTGAAAGAGTAGTTAGATGTCAATGGACAGTTAAATGCCTTATGAAAAAAACTGTTTTACAAAAAAAAGCAAACCAAAACAGACGAAATACCAGGAAGATGTAGGAGAGCAACTGTTAGAACTAGGGAAAAGCACAGTACCAGGAGTTGCATTTTACAACAGTACATTACAAGCAGTTTGGATATCACCACCAAAACCCAAAGCTAATAGACCGTTGGAACAAAAGACAACTAATTGATAAAAATATTTTGATACATACTTTCTGAAAACACTAGTAAGAAAGGAATAAGAATTGGGATATAATGCCAATGCTGCTTCAAATGAAAGACCTGGAAATGTCAGTCTCTTGTGCTGTCTCAATGACTGTCGACAACACGGAACTGAACTTCCCATCATGTATGTACACACAATGCAGATACAACCTGAGTAATTCAGGACATAGGACAATGACACATGACTCATGTAAACTCTAAAAAAAGAACATCCGTGAAACAGAAAGCTGACCGACTGAGGTCTAAGTAAAGTAACACAAAACAAGTCCTTAACAATGTATCGCTCATCAGGCATCCAGCATAGTATATAAAACAGAATGATCCATTCCTATATTTGAATAATTTTAAATATTTGTAGAAGCCCAACAATACTATTAAAAATTCAATTCATATATCTGTTTTTGTATTTAATTACTTCTGTTAGAAATTTGAGCTTATTTCTATTAGCATTACCTATTTTAAAAGCAGTGAATTTCTCTGGTCTTCTCTCAGTGCATTCTCTCAGTGTGTGTTGTAAACTTTCTTAATGTACAGTTTTGGTTTTTTTGCAAGAAAAAGAGGAAAAGACACTTTCCCATAGATAGGGAAATACAGAAAAAATCTTGATACATTTGATTATATACATTTTTACATATGTGAGATATATAATGTCTATGTTTATTTTACACCCACAACAAAATCAGAAATCACAGAACCCCAGCTGTAATTCCTTTCCCATATCCAGCATGAAAATTAGGTGTTAACAGACACGAAGATGCTAATAAAACTATTGAAGAACTAAACCCGGGTTATGATTCTTTTTCTCTAGCACACATGATCTAAACACCATTAAAAAAATCAATCTACCACTTCAGGCATTATTATGACACTATATGTTACATCATGCAGGATCAGCAGACCACTTACTTTTTGCTTTACCAACAATCCTCTTCAAAACAGTCTTTTGGAATGCCCAAATTTGACAACAGCATCAGTTTCTCACAGTAAATACTATTAAAAATACTAAAATCTCAATTCACCTTTACACTTGAATTTATAATCACACTATTCTCTTGATTCCAAAATATAGGTGAAAATATGCTTAGAGCCATACCTAGCTACAGCATACAGAAAAAGATCTCTCCTGTGAAGACAGGACAGAGAAATAAGCAGCAGCAGTGGGACTCTAGTATCTTGCAGAACACAGAGCATGTACAGTAAAGATGCAACACAAGTAACATAAAATGGATGGGGCTCTTTATCAAGTCAATCTTGATATGACTACATTTACATCAAATTTGTTAACATTTTGTAATTCCTCTTTCATTTCCACTAAGAATGTTGATAACTGAAAAAACTGTGCATATTCAATCAGCATACTGCATCACTGAAAGAAATGGTGATCTAATTTGATCATTACACCTAAGTGTTTTAATATGTTCAAACCGATGTATTTAAAGAAGATGTTCTGATTTATTCTTGGCTGTCTAGGGAGTAAAATCTTCAATTATCCTGTTTGTGAAAGCATTGCAATAATACTCTCAAACAGCAACATTCTGTATGTCTTAGTAAAATTTTATACTTTACAACTTTGATACCTGACCTAGTTTTAAAACATTAAAATAGCATTCTAAAAGCAAGCACTCCTTTTCATAAGAATAAGAACACATGAAATTTTAGTGTAATCTTGTAAAGAAAAGTTTTAAGAACAGAATTTAAAACAATGCAGCCCTTCTATTCATGAGCCAACATTTTTTGAATTCTGTGTCACTGGTTGTTAGCAAGGTCCAGTAAAAATAGATGTTCTTTAAAAGAACATGTGTTTTTATTGGTTCACTCCAGGGCTCTAAAATGCCAACAGCTGCAAGTAAGAAACTGGATTTCCTTCTAAAAACATATATAAAAATAGTTTTTGGAGCACAGTGAAGAAAAGACATCATCCAACTCAGTACTGGCAAAAAGGAAATGTTGGATGCATCCTTTTAAGAAAGCTGAAAGCTAAAGGAAGTGTTTAATTTAAAATACTATAAATAAGAATGTCTAAATTCTGTTATCTCAAACATGTGAAAACTCACACTTGGGAAAACTTTGAACAGAATTCTCTTAAAGTCAGAGAAAAAATAGTTTGTGCAACATAGCCTATCTAAACACCAGATCTGAGTTTTAATGGTGCCCTTAAATTGAAGCTCCCATGAGGTCAACAATTTACAAAACACAGGCTGTTAATTGAGAAAACTGCTTCTCTACCTCCAATACTTTGAGCACATCAAGGAACATGAGAGCAGTGTAGACACATGTCAAGGAGAATATGCCTTGATCAGAACACTAAAGACTTTGCTGAGTAAAGGATACTAAAGCCTTGGAAACAGTAACATATCATTTTATAAAGGTTTCACACAAACAACTCACTAAGAATTGGCTTTATTGCATGGTCTACTGTGTGCATTCAGAGTTCTGTAGGCAGAGAGGCAATACTGAAGACACAAAAGAAACCCCCTCTGAAGCCTGACAAAGGTTTCCTCTCTTCCTTCAAATCCTCATATTTTTCTCTTCTCTTAGTATATTTCCCTCAAAAAGTCTCCTACCTTAGCTAGTCTGGTGACTCAGGTGATAATGTACTTGACAGACAGTGAACCTCGTTAACCCTACTCCAACAAGTGTTCCTTGAGCAACCATCACTGCCCAGCTGTACAGTTGTCATTACATCATCATCCATTCCCCGCAACAGGCACTCAGTCTTCTCTTTAACTTCCACCACGTAACTCTTCTAAATACATTCAGTCTTTTGAAACAAATACGTCTGTATCCAGCACAGGATACAGCACAAGCAGCTAAGGTAGAAAAAGAAAAGCAAAGCAGGTAACGTACCAAAAGGCTAAGAAGAGATCCAGACAGGAAAATGATGACAGACAGCAAGTCTATTCTTCCCTCCCATCTTAAAATTTAAACTGTTAGGCTACTGCCAAGTCTTTTATTAATGAACATCAGGTAACATGATTCAGCAGAACAAGGATGTTTGTGAGAGGCACCAGTTCAAGCTGCAGTGGGTGCTCACCCCTTTCAGTAACTTTCCAGGTGGGAGTATTGGAATGCCACAGGGAAAATCCAGACAAATTGCAAAAAGGAGCACCTGCTAAAGGGAACACTGATGAAGAGGTCAAGAAGTGCAGCAGGAAAATATCACTGAATAAAGCCAATGAGGCTCACCCAGAAAGAGCCTGTTAAAAGATAGCCCCAGTTCCAGTTACATAAAAGGAGTAAAGATGGTTAACAATGAATCAAGTATTTCAGAAGATAGAAAAATCAATGCAGAAAACCACTTAATAGTGTTTGGCCTTTACTAGAAAATGAGGTTGCATTAACATATCAAACATAACTTTAGCACTTGTATAAATAAATCATCTTTAACATGCTGTCAGCTTTCCAGCATTTTCTTCAACTCGTACCTATAACATGTTAACATGGTGTTATGGGGCCTGCCACATCTACACAGATTTTTGATCATTATTTAACATGATTCTTCAGTGAGGTGTTCTGAAAGTAAAAGGTACAGACATTACACAAAGGTAAAGAAAAATCTGCAACCCACTGGAGAAATAATGTTAGTAGGGACAAAGACGGAATACAGCAAAGTATTAAGATCAAGCGGAACAACTCCCTACCCCAACCATTTGGTCCCTGTGTAGTTTCTATGATGACAACATCTATCCCTAGAGGCCTCATGAAGAAGCATGTTTAACTCTGCACTACTTAGGTCCAACAGGCTGTTCATGTGCTTTCAAAGAGACATAAATGTTTTGCTACACCGGGGTCCCCAGCTCTCATCTCACTGAACTAGATGGTCATGTCAGGTGAATTTCTCATTTGGTATTTCAGCACAGATTTGACCCAGACAACTATACTGTTACTATCCCTGGCTCAGAAAGCAACAGTTAAAGCTGAATATAACAGAAAACCATAACATTTCCTTACTACAAATGCAGTCCTGGTGCCTATTTAATCCTGTTACATCTATATTTGCTTTT